TTTTTAGCAAATTTACTTGATTTCAAGGGTAGCAAATATATTAGAGATGTCTGGGGTTCTGCTAAAACCTTATTAATTTCAATTAACTTCTTATCAATTCTTTGGACAAATTCTTGTATAGCATTTTCTTCTTGGTATAGGAAAGGTTTTCATTTATTCCCAGTATCGATCCAATAAACTAGATAACAAAAGCTATTAGCTTTTTGTTTAGCAAGTTTTCGCATTTGTCCTTCATATATTTTATTACATTTTTTGTTGTCTGCTTTAAAATTTGCTATAATTATACATGGAGCATTAATTATTTGGCTATAATTTTTAAACTTTTCAAAATCATTAACTCTTTTGGTAAATAAAATGATTCTTTGAGTAGCTTCTTTCAATTCTAAACAATATTCTTAATAATAGGCTAAAGATTTTTCTAACTGAAAACTTTGAAAGCATTAGTTACATAGATGCTTTTTAACTTTGTTAGTATTATCTTTATAAACCAATCTATTAGAATTTTTAATTTAAAAAAAGTGGTTTTTCTGCTTATACTTATCATTTTCAGATTTGGTAATATCTGTAAAAGCTATAAGATATATAATATGTTGTCTATTATAATTCTTGCTAGCTATTACTGGTTTGGGAGTTGCTAATTTTTCTTTCTACTCCTAGATATTAATAGAGATATCAAGATTCATCTCTTTAATCTTATTAAATATTCATAAACAGATTGGTGTAAACATAGAGATATTATCAAGCTTAATAATATCTAAGTATTTTTGAAAACTTTTTGCCTTATAAATTCACCTTCCCAAGTGGTCTGTAACTCCATTTGTATCTGCAAAATAATATCCTAATATACCTTTAAGACAGTTATCTGTGGGCTTTCCTGTAGCTAGATCTATAATATCTAAATTGTCTAAATTAATAGTGCACTTTGTATTGAAAAGCTTTTTAGAAGTAGAGATATAAAAACTTCTATTATTCTGACAGAAAGTATAGGTTTCGATAAATATTATTTCTAATCTAAAAAGAATTTTACTGGACTCTTCTTTTAAATATCTCTTAATTTTTTTATTAATTTCTCTAGCAGATCTAGTTATATAGTTATCTATATTATTTTCTGAAAGTAATATATGCATGTTTCCTCTATAATTTAATGGTGATAACTTGTATTATAGTTTTTTATATTGATAGAATCACCAATTCCTTTATATTTATATTTTATATATGAGACATGTATAACTAATATTGATTTTATTTGTTCCTTTTTACAAAACTCTTTTTTAAGAATATCTGTGATTGCACTTCGTGTTGAAGCTATAAGTTGGAACATATAAGACATATCTGCATATTCTGTTTTATTGTCTAGATGTTTATTAAAAGCATATGCAGAATTTTTGTTTGGTAGTACTATGCTTTTCTATACTATTATAGACTTAAGATTTTGGTGTTCTCTATTAAGATCTGGTTTTCTTTCTAAAAATTTTATATTTGTTGAGGGTGGCTCTTCTCCTATAACTCCTGTTTTTGTTTCAAAAATTAATAGAAAATAATTTTCAGAAGCATAGTTTATCTCTTGATTTATATTAGACAGAATAATAATTTGCTTCTCTCTATAGATTTGGGTTGCAGAACCTAAACTGGCTCTCTCTTGAACAACCACTTGGGCTTTGACCTACATGGTAGAAGGTTATGGTTTGCATTTAAACTTTCTTTTAAAATAAGCTTTTCAGTCACGAGTCTTTTTAATATTATCTTTACTGCATTGAAAACATGGTGATATCATTTTTAAATATATGTGTATAGTTTCAGTTATTTGTATTAATAGTATGAAAACTTTTGTTTAAAATAAATTATTTATTTAAGTAAGTATATTCTTGAGTTTGTATTAATATTACAAAACCTTTTATTTAATATTTTTTTTTTACACTCAGATGTTGCTTCTCTGGGGTTTGTATTAATACTATAAAATATTTTGTTTAAAATAAAATATTTATTCTTGTTAT